GTCTGTTCATTGGCTGGCTCGTGTGTGATGCCGTTGAGGCAAAGTCAGGACCGTCGTCATTATTATCTTGTTTGCACCAACCCCGCCGGCCCCCCCGAAGTGAGTACATCATACTCATACGCGGAAGGAAACCTAAAGACAGACAGACAGACAGACGAACAAACACTGCAAACGACGCGCGCTTGGTTGTCCAGATAAACGCTCCTCCCGCCCCCCAAGACGAGGTGCACGCGTTTCACACCTCGCGAGAGGCATGTTGACTAAACAATGTCATGAAGGCCCACCTAACTACATACGGTGCAAACCCAGCACGACAACGAAAAAGCTCAGGCCATGAAGGTGGGTACGACTGCTGGGCCAACTTGGGCGGCGGTTNGCTTGGTTGTCCAGATAAACGCTCCTCCCGCCCCCCAAGACGAGGTGCACGCATATCACACCTCGCGAGAGGCATGTTGCCTAAACAATGTCATGCAGACCCACCTAACTACATACGGTGCAAACCCAGCACGACAACGAAAAAGCTCAGGCCATGAAGGTGGGTACGACTGCTGGGCCAACTTGGGCGGCGGTTACTCTCGGCAGTTGGAGCTGTTGCTTGGCCACCTCAATTGCGTTCCGCCAGGCGACCACCATCAGGCCTAGCCCTTGACCGATCGGGTGACCCTCCATGAGTTGACTCTGTCTGGAGGCGGTAACGTAGTTACTCCCATACGCGTCCACTCCATCTTCACGCTGCGCGCAGGTTCGCAAGTCCTTGACATTCCCTTCTGGGTGTTGGCCGGCGTCCTGGAGGGCGACAGCACAGGCTGCCACGGCGGAATCCCACCAGGCTGGCTTATCGAAGAGCACATATCGATCTACGCCAAAAGCGTCGAGGAGGAAGGGTACGTACACCCAGGAGTCTGTGTGGGAGTTCTGCATTTGGCGAACCGCGTATACCTCCCACGAAACGACGGCCGGAGCGATAGAAAGGCCTGGCCTCTCCGTCCCACGCCGGCCTCGGCCCTGCCCCCCGCGACCCCGTCCACCACGGCCGCCTTGCACTTCCCCCTGCCTCCCCCCATCTCCTCGCCCCCCTCCTCCGCGGCCCGCCCTCCGTCGTGTCCTCGGGGGCCGAGCGGTTCTGACGATGGGCGGCAAGCCATGCTGACGACGTGTACGGTCCTCGACTGTCCGCACGTGGTCGATGGCGTTGAGTCGTGACTGGAAGGAACGGCTGTCGCCTATTTTGAGGAAGCGCTCAAGGGAGAAGGGCTCGAGGAGCATGTTCTCCAGCGTACGGCACCGGCTGAAGGCAGTGAAGGATTGTCCGTCGCTCCTCTCGCTTGCTCCGATGTCCAAGAAGCAGCGTAGCAAGGTGTTGCCCTGACTCTTGTAGATGGTGATACCGAAGGCGAGCATCAAGGGCAACTGCATCCTGAAGCAGCGGGCGATGGAGGTGCCGTCACCTCTCCGGCGACCCGTGGGTGGTTGATCATCCATGACGTCCATGGGGGCGATGGGGCAGAGGTTCGTGAGGTCAATTTCGCCGTCGGCCCAGTCCCTCCGGAGTGGTTGCTCGAAGTATTGAGGACCCCGGTAGTTCTCCACGCGAACCCACACGACCTCCGGCAGTTGTGGCGGCGTTTGGCCCTCTGCCCACTGCATGTGCACCACTTCCCCGACGGCTCCGTTGGCAAGGCCGGCAGAGACCCAATTGTTGTTGTTGACGAACACACGCGCGCCGATGGCGAGAAAGATGTGCGATTGCAAGCCCCTGAACCTTTCGGAGGACACCGCGTTGTAGCCGTGGATGGTGTGAGTGGCGTTGATTCTCGCGATGGGGGTTCCTAGAGAGTTCAACCGCCGCCAGTTCCAGTCGTCGGCGAGGGCGTTCGTGGGGAAGATGTGAACAGCGTCGTCGAAGGTTTCGCGTTCTGCAGCCCCCACCGCGGCGATGAACCTTCGCTTGAGTACGTCCCAGTCGTCTGCGGTCTGCATGCCCTCGGCGATACGCAGTAGTGTGTCGCGGAAGGCAGCCTGCTAAGGACCTTGCTGGCGCATGACCTGCGTGAGCTCGACGGCGTTGTTCATCGACAGCCACGCTTGCAGTCCTTGCATGCTGAGGCCGCCCGTGGAAGGATTGTGTTTCCACAACGGGCTAGCCCCGACCGGAGGAAGCTGTGCTGGGTCGCCGACGAGGATGATGCTCAGGCCTCCGAATACGTCTTGGCGGAAGTCCTCTATTCCATCTCCCCTCCGCCCCTCCACGGCCTGTTTTCCCCTCGCGCTCATGAGGCCGAGCATGTCCTGACCCACCATGGAGAACTCGTCGACGAGGATGAAATCGACCTCAGCCATGCGCTCCTGCAGGTCCCTGAGAGCTGCTTCGGTCATGCGGCTGGGGTCCGAAGACCGGTTGCTCTGGACGACGGGAATCCTGAAACCGCCGTGGATGGTCTGCATCAGCGCGAAGGGAAGGTTGTTGGAAATCGTCCAAGGGGAGGCAACGTGTTTTTACCGTACCCCTACCATGGAAGGCTGATCTCACAGCACAATCTAACTAACAGAACATGCAAAAAATGATTGACAATATCTGCTCACCATTCCTCCGATGGCGCAAGCAGCGTTCCCCGTTGGAGCCATGAGGATGAACCGCTGCTGTCCCACCAACCTCACCATCTCCCGAATGACAACCGTCTTGCCGGTGCCCGCCGTCCCCGTGAGCAGCAAACGGAGAGGACTCGGAGGCGCCGGCAGGGGGGGGTGCGCGGCCCTGGCGCTGTTGTCTCTGCGGCTCACGCGGACGGCTTCTCGGTAGGAGTCGAGGCTCGCCGCGTGATCTCTCACCAGTGTTACAGCGAGAGCCTGCTTCTCGTTGAGGACTGGTACCGGAAGCACAGCCGCTTCTGTGGAGGCGGGGCCGGCAGCCGCGGCACCAGCAGAGTCCTTCACCCAGGTAGTGGAGTCTTCCCGCACTCCTTGTGCCTGGGCCCAACCCGCCTGGCCCCAGTCGACGTTGTTGCCGTCGCGGCCGTCGCTCCACCGCCGATCTAGGTCATCGTCCCCAGCCCCCCCCTGCAATCCGTTTCCGTGCAGGCCGTCGAGGTTGGGGGGTTCATCGTCGTTCTCCTTCCTTTCCCCGTCGCCTTCGTGGGGCTCACCTCCGCTACCCTCCCCGCTGCGGCGGCCTCGGCGTCGGCGGTCCGCCTGGAGGTCTCGCGCCGAGAAACCACGCGGTTGTTGTCCCAACGGCATCGCCTGAACTTCGGTGGCCCACGTCCTCCACGCGTCTATCATGTTTTGCCTGGCAGCAGCGTCCTGTGTGGTAGCCTCCTCTCCTTCCTCGCCGTCCCACCCGTTGTGCAGAGGGCCACGCCACGGGCGGTACTTCACAAGGTGGCTGCGGCAGTAGTCGGCGTACTTCGGGCTGGTAGGGCTGTGGGAGAAGATGGGAAGGAAGGAGACGACGCGGTTATTTCGGGTGTGAGTCGTAATCTTCTTCTCCCGCGTTAGCTTGTACGTGGCGGCGAACGTGCAGTAGTTCATCTCCTCGAGGACCGCGTCCTGCTGGGGCCTTCCTCCATGGATGGGAACCCACGCGTCTTGATCCATGCGACGGGAGTACGCAAGGAGCAGGTCCCGCACTGGTCGAAGTCCCCCGTCGGCCCCGGCGCTCTCAACTTCGACAGAAGTCTGCTCGGTATACACCCTCACGTACTCGACGTTGTGGAGGACGTTGTGGGTCTGTAGGTTGAGGTGCTGAACCTCCTGCACGCCCATGTCTCGCCTCGTCGTCGCCATGTTGAGGACCTTTCGCATGATCGAAGGCAACGTAAGCCTGTCGTCGTCGTCGGCGTCCAGGGTAGCGGCGTGGCGAACAAGGGTCGCGAGCGTTGTCTGTACGTCCCTGCTCCGAGACTCTCCCTTGGTGGTATACTTGACCATGTACCTCCCGGCCATGCCCATGTCGACGATTGGGGAGAAGTCGACGTTCGAACCCCACCCCAGCAGCTGTGCCACGACGTGCCGGTTGACGCAGGGGTCGAATACACCCTCCCCTTCCTCCCCCTCCCGCCGCGGCAACGCGTTTTGTGGCGTTGCGATGAGCTGCCAGTCGTCGACATTGTCGGTCGGAGGAGTAGTGAGAGGGTGTGCCTCCAGGCCCAACGACTCTTGCCGCGGCTTGGGGAAGCCAAACCGGCAGCGCCCGTTCACAAGGCAGTACCCTCCGTGTCGGGTGTGACGCATGCACGCGTTGACGAGGTTCTTGTACCGCCTTTCGCATTCCCCGACATCGTCCCAATCGAAAGCGCGCAGGTCTCTGGCCAGTTCATCCCTGCCTCGGGCACGAGCCTCTTCGCTGGTCGGAACTTGTGGATCGGCTGGTGTAGGCGGTGGTTCGAGGTTGAGAGCAGTGAATCCGATCCCACACAAGAAGCTAGATATCCCGTCCTTCACTCGCGACATATCCTCATCACTGACGCCTCCGTCGCCGGGGGGATCCTCACCGTCTCTCGAAGGCCGCACCCGCCCGATGTGGCCCCGCAGGTACGTGCGCGCCAGCTCCGTTACACGCTCCTCGCCCTCGCATTCCCACGAGCTGCACCCGTGCACGTGGAGGGTGGACCTGCTCTGCCACTCGGCCCTGTCCCAGTGCCAGCTAGCATTGGCCATGTCCTTTCCCAGGAAGTACTTCTTGAACACCTGCATCCTCTCCCAGATCCACCAGTCCTCGATATGGGGGTTGGCAATGAGCAGGCGGTTGCGCTCCTGGATAGGACGGACGTCGCCTGCCCCCACACCCGCCTCAGGCTCCGGGCCAGCCCTTGGCATCAGGCGATAGAGGTCGGCCATGTGGTGATCGGCGGCGGAGTAGGTGGTGAACGTCGACAGAGACGGAAGCTGATCGATGGTGTCCTCCAGCTTGCCCTCCCACTTCTTCCAGTAGCCATCCGTCCCGGGCACATTCGCGACGTACCGGGTCGCGACGCTCATGAGCTGCCGAATGGTGTCGTCGTTAACCTCACTGGGATCAAGACTGGTAAGGGCCGGGTTGTTCCGTAGGAAGATACGGCACCGTAACCGAGCCGTTTTTCTGAGCCGCATGTCCAGCGCCCAGTAGCGGAATGTTCTGTGGCTCGCAAAACGGTAGTAAGGCGCCTCTCTCTCCCGCCGATCAACAAACTTCATGAGATGTGTGACGATGTCGACGTCCGTCAGTGTACGTTGATGTGACGGGAATGTATCCCCGACGCCGTCCGGAAAGAGAGTCGGAAAGCACATGCTCCACAG